CCTGGTGCTTGTTTAAACCAGCTCCCCACGGGGCAGAGGAGATGCCAACAAACAGCAGTGAGGTGAGAAGGGAGGAGACAGAAACAAGAGCTGCCTGGGATCAGGACAGCTGAAACTTGGAGTGCAAAGTGATATTCCTGACTCTTAAATTTAAAAGCTCACATTTTTCACAGCTGGTGTATTTGTATTTAGGTTTGTTTCTGGTGAGTGACAGGGAAGGAAGTTCTTATGAAGGACTAAGTAAATGTATTGCTGGGAGGTGGTTAAAAAAAAAAGTGTTACTGTAAAGTAACTGGGGTTGTTTCCTGTTGTGGCCATGGGTAAAAATTAAATTTTTGGAGATGGCCAAGATGAAATTAAAATGACAGGCAAAGGTTTGAGTGTTAAACTTTCAGTGATGGTACTTAGGAAGGAGTAGGAATTTAATGCTTCCTGGAAATGGTATCTTTGGCAGGTCCCTGGGCATCCTGATGGATTGTTACATTAATTTCTACCATTGATAGCTTTGGGTATTGTAGATGAATGGAGCTCAGTTTCATTGAGCTGTGCCACTCCTCCCCTTGATATTCCTGCTGGGCTGGTGAACATCCCACCTGGCACACCTGTGACTTGGTGCTGGATTTGCAGAGCTGGTTGCAGGGTTTGAAAAGGGCTGAATGAATCCACCTCCAAGCAAAAGCTGTCTGCTTACGAGTTCACAGCACAACCAGAATCTTAATAGCTTCCCATCATTTAAAAAAGTTTATTCTTTTGAATGTGGAAATCATTTTCTGTATGTAGCTGATTATAAAACCCCGAGTAGGTGTCAGGTGGGGCGTGCATATTTATTAATCACACCTGTCTAGGGAAAGAAAATGTTCCTTTTGCAGCAGTTTTCTTGCTTCCCATTTGGGAGCTGTAGTTCCTTTCTGTGCATCAGAGTTCCAAGGGTTTGCAGTGCACTCAGCAGGGAGCTGTTCCAGGGATTAGACCCCTTTTGGGGTGGGAAGAGCTTCAACATTTGAGCTGATCCTGTTGCATTGACTTTCGTCATTAGGTTGGCAAATATATCTATGCCTTGATTATGTGGGAAGTGCTGATGTGTGATCAGCTGGCTGAACGAGCTACACAAACTTCCCCCAAAGTCTCCTGTGGCCTTAATTCGTGTTTCTTTTGTGAGTCAGTGGCACTGTGAGCCGAATGAGTGTGAGTAGCTGAGGAGAAGTAGACAGTACATGCCACACAGAGGGGAAGGTGGAGTCTGGCATGAGGGACAGATGATCTCCATGGGTGCTTGTGCTGAGTCAGCAGGCACTGGGACACAGCAGCTACAGAGGCTGCAAGTTTAAAATGTGGTATTAACTGTTTAGTTCAGCTGTGCTGGTGTGTTAATGAGCACAGCAGAGAGTCTGTAGTGTAGATTATTCCTGATTGCATGGGGACTATGCTAAGATGCTGGAGTTCCTTGAGATTATTATAAGCATGGGTACAGGGGGGTCAGTGGACAGAAGTGGGACTTTGGTGTTTCTGATAAATCCTGCATCAAGTATTATTTAAAAGAGATGACCTGAGTTGCCACAGAATTGGGGGAAAGCTGCTCCTGGGGGTAGGAAAGTAGCTACAAAACAGGAGGCAAAGGGTAGAGCTTTGTAATTGCCTTTCAAATTGGAAAAACGAGCCATGGGAAGGTATGTGGGGGTGGCTTTATTCAGTGCCTTCATCCGTGGCCTGGAAAGGGTAATGAACAGTGAAGTCTCCAATTTTGTTGGTGATATGAGCTCTTTCGAGTAGTCAAATTGTGCTGATGGCGAGAAAATCTCACTGTCAGAAGGACTCAACTGAATGAGGTAGGCAGGTAAAAAAGGTGGCAGGGTAACCTTTATGTAAGTAAGTGTGAAGTGATGAATCCAGGGGGTAAAAAACCCCAGCACCTAAACCGTGGCAGTCTTGTGTTCAGCTCTGTGCTGTGGTGCTCCCAGGATCTGCCTTGAGTCTTGGCACTGAGTGTTCTCTGAGATGTGTGGAAGTGCTGGCAAAATGCTGAGTGTCATCAGGGAGAAAATGGAGAATTACATCATTTTGTCTGTAAACAATGTTACACCCACATCTCATCTCCAGTCGTGTGTGCAGTCCTTGACACGGAAAGAGCAGGAGGTTGTGGAGGGGAGCAGGGAAGGTGAAGGGGTGCAGTGGCTGCCCTGGGAGGTGGAACTGAAAGAGTTGTGTCTCTGCAGTTTGAGGAGGAGGCTGGGGGAGGGAATTTAATCAAGATTTACCAAACATGGAGCTTAAGGTGAACGTGCAGCTGTTGTCTGAATCCTCCAAACCCAGAACTAGTGTTCATCAGATTAAACTAAGGGGCCTGTTGAAAACAGGTGAGGTGTATCTTGACAGAGCTGATGGTGAAGCTTTGCTCCCCTCACTCCCCCAATATCCAGGGGGCCACTTGGTTCTGGTTTGGGCCTTTGGCTCAGAACTGATTGTGTTGGTCCATATAAATGTGAGGTGCTGATGTACTTGCTGTACTCAACTGTCAGCGCAGCAGATACATCAGTTATTTGCTACAGTATCTAAAGTGCTTCCTGTGAAGAATTCCTTCTGTGTCCTGTCTTCACTTGTGGTTGTTCAGAAGGACTTAAAATAAACTATCTTGTGCTTCCCAGGGAGTGTCCAATGAGAGCCTCCCCGTGCATGGCTGTTCCCTGGTCTGTTCTGTGTGAAGCCTCAGAAGTGTGTCAGATCCTCTTCCCTCCAGTTACGAAATTGGGAATGTAGTTTGAGCTCTTGCTGCTGCCTCTGTGACTTGGCTTCCAGCACCTGCTCAGACTTGAGTCGCTCTTGCCAGAGTCACACGCTGACTAATTATATGTACGAGTCTTAAGCCTTAAGCTGCTTGTCATTAAGAAAAATGAATTGCTGGTGTCCCCTAATAGCAGCCGAGCGAATGTGGCTCTTGATGGCTGCCTGAAAGCGAGCTGGAAGGCAGAGCCCATCTGAGAAACACTTCTGAGGGCTGAGTCTGCCCTGCCCTCGGGTTGCAGCAGCACCCGAGCGTGTCTCTGCACCGGGAGAGGACTGACAGGAGCCAGCGGGACATCTGGCTCTCCTCATCCACATCAAACACCTTAAAAGCTTCTTTTCTTCTAGAAAACATTGAGGCTGATGTAGAAGCTGCCCCAGGTCAGAGTGAAGAAAAATCCCTGCCTGCTGCACCTGTTCCTAGCCCAGTAGCACCAGCACCTGCACCGTCCAGGAGAAATCCACCCGGTGGCAAGTCCAGCCTAGTCCTCGGTTAAACCTTTCCCTTCCTGACTGTTTTGAACTCGTGTCTGTTTTCTTTCCCCCATGCTTGTGAACTGCACAACTTGAGCCTGACTGTACATCTCAAATTTCTTTCATTAAAAAGAAGCACTTTATGTACTCCATCTTCTTTTGAAATCAAGGGTTTTTTCCACTTCTGTCCTGTGTTTCCCCCAGATCTACTGGAAGTGACATGAGTGTTTTCTAGTGATAGACTTGAGGGAAAGCTTTATGAAGTATTGTAATGTAATTCAAAGGAGAGTAGCTTGGTTCTAAGTGTGCTTAGAGGGTTTTTGTACTGAGGTTTTTTTTTTTTTTAGAACCCTTTAGCTTTACAAGGGTCTAGAATCTTGGTTAACCAGGCCAGCAAACAATCAGCAAGAGCAGTCCCTTCCCTCCACATGTGGGATTTAGGGATCTAAAAGGCGTCATTGACTGCATGTGGTAAATGCCTTGAGCCCTGCTGTGCCATATAAATCATTGAGTGGTTAATGTACACCATGCTGCCTTTAAAAACAAAATAAATCTTGATACTGGACTACTATGATGCAGGGTCTGTGCCAAATAGAGGGCTGATGACCAGAGCCACCTGGCCTAGTGCTGGGAAGGGGCTGATTCAGACTTTATTCAGTAAAGGTGGAGTGGATCATATAAATAAGAATTACAGGGCATTTTTTTTTACAACTGACTCAATGCTGTGCATGATCATGCTGGTGCTTGACCATGAGGTGAAAATCTCATCCTTTAAAAGTGTGTGTTGTAATTTCACGGAGCTGGATTGTTGCTTAAAAGTAAATAATATAGAAATTTTGAAGCCGTGTTTCCTGTGTGGGTTTTATTTCGTGGTTTTGGTTTTGCCTTTATTCTCAGTTGTCCTTGTCTCAGCCAACCTGCCCTACTCTAACAGAGGTGGGATGCAGCAGAGGAGGAGAGTTCTTGCACCTGGTTAAGACCACCATCAAATGCCATCTTCCCCTGAAGGGATTGTCTGACTTCTCTCTTAATTTTTGTCTTCTAGAGCACAGAAATGTGGAATATGGGTTGATAAATGTAATCTGGTTTATCCAAAATACTTTTTTTAATCTCAAGAAAATAGAGGAAAGTTTATTTTCCTCACAACAAACAAACAAACAAAAAAACCCCACCAAACCAAAACACGATCCTAAAAAAGCTGTGAGTCCAGACCAAGGAGTTCTCTGCTGTCCTGGAGGGATCTGCTGCAGGATAAGCCACAGCAGAGGATTTGTATGGAGCTGGTGTGTCTGCTGGTGCCTTTACCACCCTCCTCCTGGAAGAACCGGTGCCTGAAAGCACCCTGGCTTTCCAGATCAGTGCTGGAGAAGCCCTGGCCTGAGGTGCTTAACCTACAAAACTGGATTTGCTCTGACGTGCTCCTCCTTTCCTGCATCAGGGGGGATTTCCCTTATCCCTTTGTCCCCTGGGCCGCGGTACCGGCTGCGGGTAGAGCATGGGAAGTAATCGAATTGCATTTCCTTGGCAATCCCCACACCCAGTGCAACTTTATTAGTGCTCCTTTCTGTTTGCTGAGGCTTTGGCCAAGCCCTGCTGCTGCTGTTCCACTGCCCTTCTCCTGCTGGGAATGTGGGAGCCACATCCCGGCCACTGCGGGGTGCCGGGGGGGCTTTGGGGGGTGCTCTCGCTTTTCCAGGCGGACGCGGGATTGCCCCCGCGGATGAAGCTCCGCCCATCTCATACATATTCATGATCGCTCATGCATATTCATGACCACCCCACGTGTGCCGGAGCCGGGGGCGCTGCCGCCCGCATCGCTCGCGTGTGCCGGGAGCCGGGATCTGGGATCGGGATGGGCAGCGCGGCCAGGCCGCTGCGGGTGCTCGTGGACATGGACGGAGTCCTGGCCGACTTCGAGGGCGCGGTGCTGCGGGAATTCCGCGCCCGCTTCCCGGCGGAGCCGCGCGTGGAGCTGGCGGAGCGCAGGGGCTTCTCGGTGCGGGAGCAGTACCGCCAACTGCGGGAGGACCTGGAGGTGAGTGCGAGCCTCGCCCTCTTCACCCAGCCCGGAAACCTCTCCCTGCCCACCCTGGGTGGGCAAAGGTCAGGGTCGGGTCGGTATTTTTTAAACAGCCACGGCCCCTTAAGTTACCTACAACTTCCTTTGTCCATGTATGGCTAAATGGGATTCGTTTAAAGAATACTCATTTAAATAATAAATCATGCTTTTTTATGTAAAATAGTAACCAAATTCATGCCTACTCTCTATATTTATATTTTTCCTAATTCCAGGAACTTTTGAGCACCAATTGATTAGACTGTCTTGTGGTGACCAGCGGGAAGGGTGAAGCCTGCATTCACAGTATTTTTAATTTTGCGTTTCATGCAGCCTTATTTTGTACAGTGATAATTAGTGACTTCTTCCAGGAGGATCACCAGCCCTTTACAGGGAAACGTGCAGGAACTGGCAAAGGGCAATTCTGTCATAAAACTCTTCACTGTACCATGTTCAGCTTGTTCTTTACTCGTGCTCCTCTTGCTGAGCAGCAGGAGTAATAACTTACCCAAAGCTCCCTGAGTGCTCTGTGAGTGTTAATGTGGCTCCACAGCAGGACAAGAAATATAAATGTTATATATGGGTTTGTACAGCTGATGAAATCCTGTGTCCATATTCCCTCTGCGTGCCCTGACAAGCAGAGTGCACGGCAGGTGATGATGAGGAGCAGCATGCAGAAAGCTCTGGAACACCCTACATCCATGCAAACTGTTGCCATTTTTAATGTCTGCTAATGAGTGAATGAATATCAGAGAGGTTTGCAAGGCAAAATCAAAAATACTGTGAATCTTTCGCCCTTCCCTCTGGTCACCACAGGACAGTCGAGGACTCTACAGAGACAGTGGATGCTGATGCAGGCTGTGCCATACACTTTCCTTGAGAAGTTCATTGCTAATTTTAAGGCCCTGTACTGAGCCTGTAGGTTTTCTTACTGCTAAGAAATAGCAATTCACATTGATTTCCCTCCTGTTCCAGGCTCCTGCACCAGGCTGATGGATGGGAGTGCTGGGTCCAGTCAGCATTTCCACAGGCTCCAAACTGCCCGAGCTCTAATCAATGACTATTGATGCTGAGAAGTTCCTGGACCTAGGAACCTGTACATATAGGGAGTAGGCATGAATTTGGTTATTATTTTACATAAACAGACATGATTTATTGTTTAAATGAGTATTTCTTAAGTGAATCCCATTTAGGTATATATGGACAAAAAAAATTGCAGGTAATTAAAGGAGTCTTGCATTTTTATTTGTCCTTATTTGAAAGGTCTACAATCTGATCTATCTAGAAAATTGTGTTTTGTTCTATTTCTGGCATTCCCAATTCCTAATTTAGTTCATGTTCATCCTGTTTCTCCCCAGACCTTAGGTGTGGCAATGGAATAACCAGATAACTGGTTTGAGTCCCACGCAGATCTGCAGTGATAGAAAGCTCTTATCTTGCTGTTGATTACTAGCCTGGCTTCCTAAGGAAATTAGCTTTATGGAGCTGTGCTGTGTGTCTGTCTCCTCCAGTGAGCTCTGGGCTGCTTTAGCCACAACTATAAAGTTTTTAAGATTTGAAGCTCCTTTGGGTCTTATGTAAAAATCATCAAATAGTTTAAAAATAGAGCCCTTGTTAGTTCTGCCGTGGCTGTGCAGGGTGTCTGCGAGGCAGGGGGATCCCTGTGGAAGGTCCCTCCTTGCCCACAGCTGCAGGAAAAGCTTCAGCAGGAACGAGCAGCCCAGACACTGAGGATGGATTTTCCAGGCTGTGCCGGGGGGTCTGTGGGGCCTCCTGTCCATGCAGGGAAACTGAGCCTGCAGTTTGTCAGTGCTGAAAGGAGGGGATCAGCAGGACACCAGGGATCAGCTGGGCACCAGGCTCTTCGTGGCAGGTGTCGGCTGTGCCCGTCCATGAACTGCCAGGGTGTGGGATACCCTCATGCCAGGGGGTGGGAAGGGCCGTGCTAATGATTTATGGATCGCCTCTAACTGAGGGGTGTTTATGCTCTGTTAGTGCTGAGCAGCTGCCCCTTGAAACTGGAGCCATTACTTGGGGTTTTATTTCTGGTTTGATCATTAATTTCGCATTGTGAATCCATTTTATTTAGGAAGACTTTTAAACCATTTTTATTTTGTTCAGAACTTTCTTTACCGCTCTTGCCTATCTGCCCTCCTGTGTGTGCAGCCATTTTGATAGGGACTTATCTCCCAGGAATTTAGGATGGCCCCAGACAGTTTCAAAGAAGGATTCAACACCTCCAGCAGGGGCAACATTTTCTAGAATTATTTTTAAGTGTCTAGAATTGTTTTTTTAAGTGCCAGCGGGAAAGCTTAGGGATAGAGGTAGTCACTCCAGTTTTGCATCCAAGTTGTTATCTTGCTAATGGAAGTTAAAAGGAAGTGTTCAGCACTGATGGCATGAAAATGAGGAAAGAAAATGGTTTTACTTTCAGTTTCTAGTCACTTTTTGTTTCTTGGGGGGAGGGGGGGAAATGGCTTTAGATCCTAAGAGTCATCAAATCGAATTTCATTTGCCAGCACAGCCAGACTTTTTTGTGACGTAGTGGAAACTTGCCAGTTTCTGGTGACTTGCTGTAGGATAAAAGAGCTTTCAGACACAAGCCCTGAGTCTGTAATTCAATCTCCTTGGGAAGAGCTCCAGGGAATTGTTGCTGGGATCAGGGAGGCTTTGCATGGAAAGAGAGATCTGGGCAGATCTGATTGCCACGTCTGCACCCAGAGACTCCTCAACCTCTTCTGATTTGCGTGTGAAATCAGGTAGTGCTTCCAAATTTCTGGCTGTTGATTTATGAGTATTTGCAGTTGATGATAACTGAGTGAGCTCCAGGATCTGGGAGACTGGTTTAATGCCAGCTCCTTCTCATTGCCTCTTAATTGAAATGGTTTTTATGTTGATGTTCCACTGGTGATGTAGAGCAAAGAGACCATCAGCTGGACTGTAAAGCTGCCTTGTGCAATTTCTGAGCAAAGGCTGCAGCCTGCCTTTGAAGAATACTTAACAAGAATTAAGTTTTCAAAATTGTTCAGTGGCATGGGAACGTAGGACTTTAATGCTCGTGGAAAAATGCTGTTTTGACACCTCTGAAGTTCACAGCGTGACTCCAGGGAAGGTAAGATTCGTGTGTCTCAGGGTAGAAGAGATACTGGAAGTTTAACCTCTCTGTCTGAGAGTCAAACCTAAGCCTGGAAGTGGCCTCAGCACTGCTGTGGGTCCTTTGCTATGATGGGATGTGTGATAAGGGGAGAGAAAACCCATGGGCTGTGACTACTCTGAAACACTCTGATTTAACACAGGTCACTCTGAACAGTCAACAGAGAGCAATCTTTAAAATTAACTAACCAGAACTGGATTCAAACCAATGAATTTCCTAATAATAAAATGTATGAAAATGTCTTATCAGTAAATTAAAAAAAAAAAGAAAAAAAGGACTAGAAGGTCAGTCCTACTTAAAGGCAGGGGAATTGCCCTGGAAATACTGCATTTCCTTTTAAAGGTCATAAATGCCACTGTGCTGTATCATATTAAATACCTTTCTGTACCATTTTTTGGGTACTTTAGCCAAAATGGGATAACATTGCTCCTCCAGTAATCTTGTTTCTTTCATGTTTACACTCACTTGCTGAAGGGGTTCACCCCAAATGTGTGGGTGTGCTGCCCTGGCCAGTGGCACGGTCACCACTTTGCCCTGCTTGTTCCAAAGGAAAAGAGGGATATTGGGCAGTGCCTATGTCTGCCCAGTTGTCCCTGGTAAATTCCTGAGTCATCAGCAAATCTCAGCCAAGCATGGCAGAGGAGCAGAAGCCTCCAACTTGTTCCTTTGGTTTTCACAAGAGTTAGTCCAGAGAGACCTGCTGGGAAGGGTGAGGAGGGAGCTCTCCCTCTGTCAGAGTTCAGCGATCCCAGCTGTGGGTCACGGCTGAAACAAACCCAGGTCAGGGTCAGCTCTGCCTCCTCGCTCCGAAGGAGCCACCAGGGAGGGACTTCTTGTGTGCCTGAGCTGGACTTTTCCTGGAACCCACAAGGTGAGGCATTTTATAATCCACTCCTGGGGGGAAGCATCACCTCCCTCTGCAAAGGGAGCCCTTTGCTGGCTGTGGCACACGGGATAACTGGAGAACTGCTGGGACATTTTGGATCACAGCACAGGCACTGCTGACTGTCCTCTGCCTCTTGCAGGCCAAGGTAGCCAGTGTCTACGAGTCGCCTGGCTTCTTCCTGAAGTTGGATCCAGTTCCAGGAGCCCTTGAAGCTATGAAGGAGATGATCCACATGCAGGAGTAAGGACACTCTGCAGCCCTTCTCCATGACCTTACACACTGTCCCCCCTGACTGCTAATGAAGGCTGTTTCCTTTTCAGCACCCAGGTCTTCATTTGCACGAGTCCTCTCCGGAAATACGAGCACTGCATCGTGGAAAAGGTGGGAGAGAATTTGTTTTGCTGGGTTTAATGGTGCTTTTGCAAGGCCTTGCTCTTTCATACCACCTAAGATGGAGCCATTCCTTTATGAAGGCAGTGGCTGCTCCAGCTGCCAGGCTTCCCTCGATCCCTGTCCGAGGAACAGCTGCCCAGGCACGGAGCAGTAGCTCAGGATGGGGAATCTCGGAGTGCCACAGGCTGCCAGAATTACTGTGGAGCACGTGAGCCCTGGGCTCTTGGAGCTGGGCTGGGCCCAGCTTGTCAGGAGGCGATAGCAAAGGAACTGTTGTAGTTCCCCAGGACAGGGTATTCCCAGGGGATTCCACGCTGGAGAACCCTCAACCAACAAAACTTTCTGTCTAAATCTGGAGATTGAGATACCCAGCTACCCCAAAAAAGGCCAATGCTGAGCCGAGGAGGCTGTGGTGTTGGAATTAGTCCTATTTGCCACTGGCATGAGAACGGAGGGGGGACTTTGGTCACTGGAGGGACTTGGATGGGCACAATCCACGTGCTCTGGGCAAGCGGCCAGTGCTGCTCACAAACTCAACAGCAGCATGGCCAGGGCAGTGCTGAGTGAAGGCTGCCACAGGTTAAATCAGTCCTGGGCAGTAGCCAGTCTCCACGTGGGAATTCCTAGACATAGCTGTGGGCTTACAGGGGAAAAAATGACTGCGTTAGGGCTGACCTGGCACGAGCAATGTGCAAACCGAGCCTACAGCTGGATTTTCTCTTACTCCTTGTCTCTGCAGTATAAGTGGGTAGAGAAACATCTGGGGCCTGAGTTTGTGGAGAGGATTATTCTGACCCGAGATAAGACCGTCGTAGCTGCTGACCTGCTGTTTGACGACAAGGACACCATCCAAGGTTTGAACAGCGCTTCCGTCGCCGGCTGTTGGCCGGGGAGTCACCCCCAGCTGACTCCAGTTTTCCCCTTTTCCCTCCCCAGGCGCAGAACCGAACCCGAGCTGGGAGCACATCCTGTTCACCTGCTGCCACAACAGGCACGTCCAGCTGCCGGCCCCGCGCCGGCGCCTGCTCTCCTGGGCGGACGACTGGAAGGCCATCCTGGAAAGCAAGCGCAGGCAGTAGGGCAGGAAGGGGATGCTGCGCCCTTCCCAGTGCCAGGGAAACCCATTCCCAGGAGCCAGGGAGCACCGACACCTCAGGGTCAGCTATAACAAGTGAGCTGTCCCTGTCAGACTTGGTACAGAGCTGGCTCTCCCCGGGTTTCTGGAAGATTCCTCTGCACTCAGTTCACCTCTGTAGCATTTGGGTGTTTGCTGTTGGAGAAGAGAAACTGTAAAACACAAGCAGCTGTGGGTTGGTTGGATTTTTGTGTGTCTGTGTTTAACCTCACTCCTGTTTGGTTTGTGCTGTCTGGGGGTGGAGAGGAGGAAAAAAAGAGGAAGAAGGAAAGCTCTTGAAACTTGAGCAGACACAGCGTGGGTGTCTGTCAGTGGGCACTGGGCTCAACAGCCAAACCTTCTAAGTTTTATGTATTTAGCCACCCTGGCTTTTGGGTTTTCTCTTGCCTCATTGGCTGATCATGAAAGGAGACCAAGCTGGCCTCGATTTCTGGCCCATGTGCTTGAGTAAGAGTGGGCAAAGGCTGCAAATGCTGCAGAAAAATATTTATGAGCTCATACAGAACTGATTACACAGCATTCAAGTTAATGTTTTATTAAGAGAAGGTTTTACAGGACAGCAGCTCTCATGAGCCAGACTGCTGTGAACCATTTTTTTTTTTTAAATCTTCACCTTCCTCACCAGTGGTAATGAAAGAAAAACAACTTTCCACTTCTTGATTTAAAGGATAGTTACAGCCTGCCCTGTGCAGTGACTCAGGTGCCTATGCCACGATAAGAGGGTGGCATAACTAGTTCCACAGGGATGGAGAAAGATTGTGAACTGCCACGGCAGGAAAACACCTTCTTTCTCTGCAGGAGGAATAAATTTCTGTGACATTTTGAAGTCATTTGAGTTGACACTCCGTGTCAGTTGTCACTGACACTGAAGGGGAGAGCTGCAGCAAAATCAGCCAGGAACTGGAGGGGATGTAAGCTGCTCAATAACCCAAGCAGAAAACCCCCCACTGCTGGGAAGCGTTATCTGTGCAAGCTGAGTGCTGGGCTGCACTTGGCAAACTGCTTTCCAACAGCCATGAGCTGCTTTATTTTAAATATTTGCTGGCAGTTTTAGCTGCATGCTCGGCCCAGCTGCCATGGTAGTGCTGCACCATCATCTTTGTTAACTAAACCCCAGTGCTGGTAGGACCAGCTTCCCTCTTTAATGTGTTTGACACGCTCCTGACCTGCTGAGCAGAACGTGAGAACAGAGGGCGGTTTCCCTCTCAAACAGCTTCAGTCCTTGGGGAGGGGGATCCCCAGCGCCGTGTGTTTGCTGAGGTTCCTGGCCTCCTCCACCTGCGGAGGCGAGCAGTAATCCTCCAGGAACAGGGTTGCCAGGTTGCTGAGCCGTCTGTTGGCCGAGAGGGAGAAGCGGAGCATGCACTCCACCACGGGCAGGGCCGTGGTCTGGTGCCGGGACTGCGGCGTGGTGAGGAACATCAGCGTGGTGACAGCCGACACCACGGTCTCCTCGTTGGGGCTGGACAGGCAGTTGATGATGGGCTCCACCCCGTTGGCCTCCAGGATGTACTCTTTGTTAGTTTTATCCAGGCACAGGTTACAAAGACCACCTGAAACGGCAGAATGAAGGGTCTGACGAGGCAAGCTCTCCACACCCTGGTCTTTGTCACAGTAAGATTCAAATTCAAGCTCGTCCTGTTTCTAACACAGAAATAAGTATCCAGATTTTCTGGGAGGTTTGGATGGAAAATTCTTGACGGCTCCCTAGGCTGTGTTTTGTTGATGCTTTCCAGAGATTTTCCAGCAGCACATTCCTCCTCTTGTGTGTCATTAGAGGGCACTGTAACTGCTGCACATAACTGCTTCCACAGAATGATTCCGGCATCACTTATCCCTAACAGGATACAAGCCAGCAGTTTACTGCATGTGTTTTAGAAAACCAGAGAATGGACATAACAGTGTTGGGCAAGAGGCACAGAATGTTTGAGCTTGAAACTTTGAGAAGCCACAAACCTTAAAATTCAAGTATATTTATTATCATCTCATAGAATCCCTCACAGGATCTGGCCCCTTAGCTTAAGTTCAGACCATAAAAAAATCACAATAAGGCAGTTTCTCAGAGAATTTATTAAAAAACGTCAAGTAACCATTCTAGAAGACCAGCTGTCAATAGTAGGATGGTAATGCTGGACCTGTACAATATACCTGGCAAAATTTATGTATTAATTATTGCTTCTCTATAGGAGAGATTTCAGTAAAAAGTCAATCAGGTAGTGTTTACTTACAGTCTGAGGGGAAAACCCCAAAATCCTTTCAGAAAGTGTCTTCATTAAGCTCTATCGGGAAAGGGGGGGCACATACCTGCCTCTGATTTCTCTCCCTATTCCACACATTCTGCACTAAACGAGGCTTCATCAGCACATTTATTTTTTGGGGAGGGGAGGATTAACCACCAAACCAGGTGTGGGACCTGGTGTCCCCCGACCCTCCAGGCAGGTGCCAGCTGAGGGTGTTCTGGGCAGCCCTTACCAATGGCAAACTCCACGAGGGTCTCGTTGTCCTCGGTGAGCATATCCAGGAACAGATCCAGCACCTGCAGCTGCCGCAGGTACTCGTAGTTTTTGGGATCGTAGGCGAAGTTGGCCAGGTTCGCCAGCACCTGCTCCTTGGCCTCTGCAATGGAGAAGCGTCAGGCGTGTGAGGAAACACTCAGCGTGAGGGGAGCGAGCGAGCAGCGGTGTTTGTTACCTGGGCTGTCCGTCACCTGGAACTCGGTGACGAGCGCCTGCAGGTACTCCAGCCGCCCCAGCTCCATGGCGGGCCCGCCTGTGGGACACCTCGATGGGCTCCCCGTTCCTCTGGAGCCCCGGGCAGTGCGGATCACGGGCAGTTCAGGGGCCGGGTGTCCCGTGGGACGGGGACAGACCGGCAGCCCCAAGGCAGACAGGACGCTCCGCCGGCCGCCATTTTGTGGGCGTGACACGGCGGGAGCGTCTCCCGCAGGCGGGGCGGGGCGGCCGCCATTTTGTGGGCGGGCGGGGCGGGTCCGCTCCCTTCAGGTGTGGGGGTGGGCGGTTCCTCCTCCCCTAGATATAAATTAATAACATATAAAGTATATAATATATACAAATATATATATATGTCAACATCAATATATAAAAATGAATGACCCCGTGTCGTGGTGTTTCGCTGTGTTTCGTCATAGGGCAAAGCTTTGCTCTGGGAAGGAGCTGACCCTTCCTCATTCCCCAGGTAATCACTCAAAGAGTGTTCACGCCTGTTTATGTTTTCCTGCTCAATCCCAGTCCTGCTCTCCTTCCTATCAGCTGTGGTGGTACCGCGCGTTCCAGTTTAAACATGGGATTGCATCTCGAAGACTATAAGAAGGACGAAGAAAACAGATTTTTCTTTTTTTTTTCCTTTTGTAAAAGACAAAAGGATTAGAAGCTGAGGGGGAAAGGTAAAACCGGGGTGCAATACACGCCCAGTGAGATAAACTACCTGGAAAAAAAAAATGAAGCAAAGCCGACGAGTGAATTAACACAGATGCAGGTGATTCCACCCTGGTTTACAAGGGGCACAGAGCAGAGCAATTCCCTGGTTCTGAACTAACACAGTTCAGCGGAACCACCGCGATTTTACGTGTTGCAACTGGGTTCAGGTGTGATTCATGTAAATATATATGGTAAGAGTTCATAAACATCATAAACTTGGGGGGAGGCAGGGAGTTGGACTTCCAGAAATTTGCATTGCTTTTATTGAAGCAATTACATGGACAGAGGTTCTTCTGTGGATAAGGAGGGAACAGGCTGTGAGTACGTGTTGTCTTTTTTTGTTATCTCAAGAGCAGTTGATTTTCACATACAGCAAATTGAATGTGCACCGACCCACCGAACTCATGGCACCAGTGACGAGGGTGCTGGGCTGAGAAACCTCTCCAACCACACAGCTGGGGGCACAAAATATCTGCCCGTGACCACGTTCTGTAGAAGGATGAGCAAAGAAGCTGCACTGAATGCAGCTATGCTAAATATTTTAACATGGTAACAGCAAGGGAAGACAGGGAAAGTGAAATTATTTATTTCTACCTGGTCCAAAAAGTTGGACAGGCCTGTGCTAGCAACTTCAGCTCTTAGCGTAATTATCCACTGAAGTCAGTACCTATTTATATGTATATATACATATCTATATTTGTGTGTATATATATATGTATATTTGAGTAGATATATATATGTATGAAAATTATAAGCAAAGGTGCTACGGGACTATGTTAGAATGTTTTGCTACTCTAGTAACAAATCTCTTCTAATGTGTGCCTTTGTAAGTGGTAAGTGTTGACATACTTTAAAGCCACATCTGTCATTAAGTAGAAAGTGAATGAGTAATATGAGAAAGCAGGAGCAGAGAAAGCAAACACAGGGGAGTCAGTCAACACAAACAGAGCAATACTGGGATTGGCTAATGGGGGAGGAGAACTGTGTGTAAAGAGGAAAAATGCTATTACTTCTCTTTATAAGTACTGCATTTACTCACCCAGTACTGGCTGTATAATTTAATGGTCTGAATGCTCCAAGCACTTGCTGTTTGCTGGAGTAGTTTGCACAGTGTGGACTGGTATAGCCTGGGTAGATAGCACACCAAAGGCAGAATTCAGGGAATTTTCATTTCTATTAGTTTTTTCTTTTCTTGCATCTACGAGCCAGGTCTGCAAACAGCAAGCCAAGATCTTAAATCAAGTGATTCTGCAATTCTGAGGTTTTTTAAAGTGTGTAAGTTTACTGTGACTTTTATTTGGGGTTTATTGATATTAAATATTAATAAATAATATCCACATTAAATGCAAATATTAATATTTTCCACATATTACATTAGCAGAGTATTTAAGGCTTTTAAGGATCGCCATCTGGCAATATTTCAGTGTGAACTTCCTGGTGAATGTTTCATTTCAGCAGGAAAAGGTGCTTCTTGCACTTTTGTTTTCTCTGCTATGGCAGCTCAGACATCTTAATTCACCTGTGGAAACACAGCCTAAAAAGCTACCTCTTCTCTGTGCAGAATTCGGTTCCAACCTGTGGGTTGTGGATTACTTCTGAGGGGTCTGTGGAAGGTAACCAGGGGTGACAACCCTGTTTTCAGGCAGCTTAAGTTCTGTAAGGCTGTTAGAAAGGTTGTAGTCAACAAGCTGAGAAAACGTTAAAATGATGGATTTATGAATTCATTGCTCTTCTTACCAGAAACACCTCTCTGGCTCTGCAAATAAGTCCCAGTGACCCCAGTGATGAGTCTGGGAGTATCAAAAAGCAGTTCTAGCAAGCACTCCCCTGACTTTCCATCCTTGCATTTCTGTGCATAGAAATGACTAAGAAATAGTCAAAACAGTTTTCTTTGGTGTGGGGGTAGGAGCAGCTGATCTCTGTGTCAGCTTCAGCTGGGAGTACCTGTTATTTTGTCCTCCCTTCCAAGGAAGCACAGACTGTGCACGTCCTTTCTCATGAGCCATCCGGAGATAAAGAATTGCAGGGAGAGCAGTTGCTCCACGCAGGAGCTGCATTCCCTTGCTCCTTCAACTAACCTTTGTTTTCCTGTAATAAATTTTGATGGGTTGTAGCTTTCACCATATCTTACCTATTTTGCACAGGACATTTGGGGTGATGGGAGGATTTGGGTCCATATAACCCCATATTTCTGTAAGAATACAGAAAGGGAATGTAGAAAGGTGAAGAGAATTTAAAATTTGAGAATTACACACAGAAAATATGTCAATCTGTTCAGCTGCTTAGCTCTTTATTTGCAATAGCTAGAAGAGATTTGGGACTTGATCCTTCTTCATTGTTTTTTGGCAGGGAGAAAGCCCCATCATTTTCCTAGGAATGTACAACAGTCTGTTTTGGCAAGTTGAGAAGCGCCAGTCCCTGTTTACTTCGTAGCTATGGACGAGGTAAGCATTACGTAAGTTAATAAACACACTTGATGAGAGATGAGATATGGATATCACTTACTAATCATCTTATTTAAATATGGGTTTGATCAGGAAATGCAAAGTCTACTGGTTCCATAATCCTAGGGCGAAGATACTGAGCTGTGGAAGCAGGAATCCTTCTGAAGGGCTGATACCTCCTCCGTGTAAGGCCAGCTGGGAAGCCACTGTAGCCTCTGAAGATCTTGAGGTCAGTTTTCCAGTAGTTTCATTCAGATTTTCGGTTGGTTGGCTTGTTTTGTCTGGGGAGCTGTAATGAAAACTGTGGGTTTGTCGGTAGGAATCTGTCATGGCAGTTCTTAGATAGGCACTGCAGTTGAGTTTGATATCGCAGGTCTCAAGGTAAGCACTGTACTTCAGTTGAAAGCTGTTCCTTCTTCCATTTCACTCCCATTTTATACTCCCATCTTTCCAATGGCTCTTAACGCGTTGAGTAATTTTCACCCGCCGTGTTTCGTGAGCTCTTACCTGCATCTGTTGGATCAGGGATTATACAGAATATGAACAGTTTGCACCTCAAGCTGATGCTGAGGCTGATGCAGCCACCACCTGAGCAGTGAGAAGCCTAACTCCTGGGAATGGAGCAGGAAATCCCACCTGCAGTCAAGGCTGTAAAGAAAGGAAAGTTAGCAACACTGGCTTTCCTCAGTATACCTTCCCCCACAGATTTCTTTGTAAGTGCTGCTTGTGCTTACAGGAAATATAAGTTATGCTTGTACAAAGTTCTCTATAATGAGCATGCTGGTGCAATTAAGTCTGACAATCTAAGATTAAAGAGCTGAATTCATATCCACAGTTGCTTTGAATTTGACCCTGTAAAAGGAGGCATACACTTATTCTTAGGTATGGCAGCACCTTTGCTCTCCCCCCCAGATGGGTTCCAGGTAATGCTGAAGTGTGTTTACACAAGCCATGAATCCTCTTTTATGATATATCAAGCAGCACTTGAGATATCACTAGTTATACAAAGCAGGCACTCCAAGTTTTGGTGTTTTTTCTTTTTTCTTTTTGATGCTCTGGAATTGAACCTTTCAGGCCTTGAAACTGCCCTTGGCATGATGAACTTGCGTATATACCTTGTAGGAGAAAATAATTGCTCTTACTAGAGACTTGTCTGAGTTCTGCAACCCACGCAGCTGCTTTCAGATAGTATTTAGAGACGTGGGAAATAATCCCACTGCTGCTGTAGAAAGTGTTTGTCTTGCCACCTGCAGCATGGGAAGCAACCAGGATATTTGTGCACCAAAATTACAAGTGAAAGAACTACCCTTGTGCATAGCCATTAATCCATACTGTCCAGCATTTCCAACCGAAACAGGCATGTGAAATTCCAATGATTTCTTTACAGGCAGTGACTCAACCCAGTTGAACTGACACAGCTTTTTGTCTCCTTCTGTGGCTGTTGTCCCATGGTTTGCTTTAGGAGAGCACAGATCTCTCTGTCCTTCATCTCCTTGGCAGGTGCTGGGATCGGGGCTCATCCCGTGGTCTGGATCCTTCTCTTGGAGCCTGACATGACCCCTGGGAGTAGAAGTGCAGAAGGAAGATGACAGCAGTGGAAAGCAGACGATTTTTTTCCCATCCGCCATCAGTGCTGGGCCACGGGTAGCTTTGTCCAGACCACATCGTCGTGTTGCTCTTTTCTTCCCTTCTTTATTTTCATATGCTGGTGACGTACACGACTGCTGGAGGGGGTTGGCTTTCAGCCTGTGGATCACTTGGCGTTTCGCTGTACGGGTATCTGGAGGGATTACTCGAAGGTCCTTTGGAAGCCTCTCTCAGTTTTGTTTTTTTATCCAGAGCACAGAAGCTGAGCCCCATGAATAATGCAGAGGAGATCAGGAAGAAGCTGGAGGTGTAGAAGACGTAGCGGAAATCACTGGTTATGTCTACCAGGAGACCTGAAATAGAAGCCAAAGAGAAGATGCACACTAAAGGCATAAATTTACACCAGTGTTAAATAATTCAATAAATTGCCATATACAAAAGATAAGCATTCTCTGATGGGTTAAGTTCTCTAAATTCTAGGGGTTGCTTGGTTTGGGATTTTTCTGTGGTCACCATTCAGGTGATGTTTCTGCTTCTGTTGAAAGTATTTCTCAATACACAAAGAAATCAGAAAAGAAAGGAAATTGTAATTTTCCCCCAACCTGCTGATTCATTTAGTTTACCCAGCAGAGAACCCCTGTGCCACTGCCACTCGCTGGATTTTGGAATTAATCACCCTGTTACATCCTAGATCAGAAAGCAGAAGAACTATATTGAGAAATATCTCAAAAATTTACATATTAGGTTCTCTAAACTGAACAACTGTCTCTAATACTGTGTAATGAGGGAGGAGAAAATTTCACAGCACAGCAAGGTTATGACTTACATTAAGCAACCTCAATATAAACCTAAATATAAACCATTTAGAAGTCTGATATATCAAATAAGTAATTTTACACAAATGTTAGAGATGAAAGGCAATACCTGGCTCAAATATATGAAGCCTTGTGTAAGCTGCTTATTTATATGGAAATATTGGAATAATGTTTTAATTGCCTGTGTCTTTCAGTAAAGATTGGTGATGTTTCTTTTCATAGTGCACTTTTCTGTAGCAGACTTTAGGACTTCAAGTAGAAATGGTGCTGCTTTTACTGTGCTTTGTTTTGCCCATCTGCCCCTTCCATCAGAGATGTCCAAGAAAGGACCTTCTTTGCTCTTTGAGAAAAGTGACTGACACCAGAGGGAATACCATGAAATATGGTGCATGTCACCATCACATTATTGGAACAGACAGTATTTTCCTGCTGAGTATCCACAGTTCATTGCCTAGAGAGGAGAACTAAAGCCTCAAGTGAGGATTCATGCTCAGGTTGACATTTGTTTCTTAGTCTTTTGAATTTGCTGCTGTACTGCAGGAGCAGGTGCATCTTGGACA